AATAAAGGCTGTTTGTGGGACGTTGCTGTGCCCTAATTGAAAAGAGAAGGGAGTTTCTCTCCTCCTCCGCTGTCCTGGCCAACAATCGGCCAGATAAAACTGGTCACTCATTTCATGGCTGTTTGCAGGACATGGCTGCACAGATTGGTTCCTGTTCTCTTCCAAATAAAGAGTCCTGTAGCGTGGTGGTTAGCGAGAGGACTAGGGTTCAATTCCCAAGTGGGGCAAAATTTTAGGCAAGTTTCCTTCCTCCACACGCCTCTGTTTACCTAGCAATAATTAGGAATCCAATTGTTAGTTGATTGGCGGATCGCTTTCTGGGGGTAATAATCCCTCCCCCAAAAAAATTGGTCACTCAATCCACAACTATTTGTGGAACATTGCTGTGCACAATTGGCTGCCATGTTTTGCCCACAAAATATACAGTCAATCCACTTTACAATATATTCTTTGTAGCGCTTTGAAACCTCTCAACGATGTGATAAGGCACTTTATCAAATGCAAGGATTATTATTATTATTATTAAATGCTTTGAGATATCTGGATAATATGATAAGGCACACAAGGATAAGTATCAAATGCAAAGATTATTATTTATATTATGTTGGTGCAGACAGAAAGGAGATGAGCACTGCAGTGGATCACGTCATGTGTCACAGACGAGAGACACTGGAAAAGATGATCGAAAAATACACTTTATGGTAAATCCTGTGAAGCGCTCTGACAGATCCTCCCCATAAGAACGTAAGAATTTGCTCAGTGAAAGAAGACCAAGGTCCATCTGGTTTGCCTTCCACCATCCCGGCAGTCGCTTGACATGTCGTGTGACAAACTATATACTGTATCCTGAGATATTATTTTCTTGCAAAAATCTACCTAATTTGATCTTGAAACAAATGACATATTCTGCTTCCGCTGTCTCCCTGGAGAGCCTGTTTCATAATTTTATTGCTCTCTCACTGAAGTAGTGTTTCCACAGATTTATCCTGAATTTACCCCCTTCAATCGCAGGCCGTGTCCCCTGGTTCGGTTCTACTGTTCAGGGCAGCTTCCATGGTCTACATTATCTATTCCCTTCAGAATCTTAAAGACGTAATTATATTGACCCTGTAAAAGGCTCTGTATAAATGTCAGTATTATTAATCACCTCTGCCGTCAGCAGAGCAGCTGCTCACAAACATCTCCTCAATCCTGTGTGGGGCATTGCTCAGAGTGGTAGATGGAAAGGCGACACTTCTTTTTTTTACTCCTGTTTTGAGGTGGTGGAGAGAATGACTCGCTGTGATAATATGTCCAAAATCAGGAAATCAACGGCAATTATTCACAACCTTCGTCTCTACAATACACAGTGACCAAATCCTGGCTCTCGCCAGACAAGGATTAGTCACTGTGTAATTTATATGCAAAGGATGGAATTAGGTAAACAAGATGTGTCCCACCAGGGAGGGAGTGCACATTCCATTCCAGACACGTGAGAATTTCCATGTGTAGGTGGCATGCATGGAACTCAATTTGGTTTGGATCCTGTTAAGCACGGTGATGGTGGTGATTGAAGGTTGGGGAAGACAAGAACTCCGAGAGAGAACATGGTGCAAATCCATGTCCAGCTGTGGTGGGTCCCTCACTGAGCTCTGTTACCTGCTTCGCTGGTGTCCACTGTAGTTCAGTTCACAACGATAAAACCATCACGTAGCTCTGCAAGTGGGAGTGCGTCATACACTCTCACATACAGAGCCACAGGCCCTCTCCAGAGGGTATTATCAGGAGAACAGCTATTATAATAATACATCACATCACCAATTCACAGTGTAATTGAACCACACAGTGTTATTTATCACCAGTGAGTTCACTGGGATATTTCACAGTCACGCTCGATTTACATTGTCACAATGTGGGGAAAAATCAGTTTTCAGTTTCCAGTTACTGTAACTGCAAAAATCCCTGCGATTGTTCACCTACAAAATACAAAGTCACTACACTTTACAGTGAACCCTGTCAAGTGCTTTGAGACCTTTGAGCGGCCTGATGTTACCATGTATTTACTACGCACGTTTGCCACCAAAGTGGTGATTTGTTGACAAGACAGCAGCATAATCACAGCCTTAGTGTGATGTCAGGTGGTGGGATAAGGGGCTGTGGGCAGCTACTCGGTAGATTTTATTATTTACTTTACTGTCAGTTAAACCAGGTACAAACACCAGACGAGCCAGCAAGCCTCAAATATGGAAATATTGTCACGGAATTCATATAAAAGTTAATAATAATCATCATCCTTGTACTTGATACATTTGCATATCAAAGATTGATTCTGACCTTCCGCAATCCTGGAACTTGGGTTGAATTCATGTCTTTGCTGATCTTAAATGTTCAAAAGGCAAGATGTGAAAGCCTCTGTATCACACGCAAGGGTTATTCTTTGCATTTTAATCACAAGCTGGGAACAGTACACAGCCTCCTCCTGCTCTCAGCAACCACACAGCAAAGGCCCGGCCTACATTCTTCAAATGCCGCCTTTGGCACACAGCAGCTTGATTGATCCTGTGTAATAGTGCAGGTTAGAACAAATATATTCCTGGGTGTATGTGGGAATTGATCCGACTGTTTTGTTTAATGCTGCATTTCCTCCCATCGCTGAGCAGCATAAGCAGCACCTCTCAGATCTATATATAATATATATATATATATCTGTACATGGGATTCATAGCAGCTCACCGCAAACCAGGGAGCCAAACTCTTCTGTCAATCACACCCTCTGCAGGCGATGTGGACTCATATCACATTTCTCACAAAACTGTAAAATAAGGTGAAATATACATAGCTGGCGTGGGCGACTGGCATTGACTGAAGGATTCACACAGCAGATCTCAGGGACTGAGACAAACAGAGAGGAATGGAATCTCTGTCTGCAGAAAGCTGCTCACGTTTCTCTCTCACAGTTTGACAGCTGAGCACTGACTGTGCCAGACTTCCCATCGCTAGCCTGGATACCAACACCACCCCCTATCACCATGTCCCTCCCGACCTCCAAATATAGCTCCCAGTCAGTTACCCACTGCTTGTGTGATGCACAGACCAAGAACGTAGGACAATGTCGTCAGTGATAAATAAATAATCCATGTATTTGATACAATGCCTTTTCACTTCATTGAACATCTCAAAGCGCTTCACTGGATCTAATGTAAAGCACCCTCCACTACCAGTGCTGGGTAAGCCTGGTACACGGCAGTGGACTTGGACCTCGAGAACATCAAGGTGGCTGGCAAATCACACACTGTCCTGTAAAGGTCCTCCCACCATGTTGAAGGCAGACGCCCGCCAGATAGCCGATGAGGATACTCTGAGGCTTGAAGCAACAGCTGCTGGAAGGCATTACCTGGAGTCTGAGTTTGTGAACAACAACAACAACTTGCATTTATATAGCGCCCTTCACGGGGGGGTAGCATCCCGTAGAGGTTTCATGCACACATATGTTTGTACATCCAGCGCCTGGAATCCACCTTGATTAGTTTGAGGAGAGGTAAGCAGCTGCTGCTTAAGCTCCGCACTTCCGATGGGAAAGGCTGTGCGAATAAGATGTCCTGTCTGCCTGATCAGGCGGATGCTAAAGATCTCACGGCACTCTTCGAGAAGAGAAGGGCATTTCTCTCTCCCAATGTCCCGGCCCACAATATCCCCAATTAAAAATTGGTCACTAATGCTACGGGCTGTTTGTGGGATGCTGCTGTGCGCAATTGGCTGCCGCGTTTCACCCACAAAATATACAGTCAATTCACTTTACAGTATATCCTGTGAAATGCTTTGAGACGTCTCAACCACAGGATGAAGAGCTATATATGGATGATTATTATTGTTATTATTATTGTAACTCTCAGTTTGATTTGGATATTGTTAAGCACAGGGATGGGTTTCCGCATGTAATAATAATAATCCTTGCATTTGATATAGTGCTTTTCACGTCTTCTCAACGTCTCAAAGCGCTTCACAGAATATGCTGTAAAATGAATTGACCGTATATTTGTGGGCGAAACGCGGCAGCCAATTGCGCACAGCAGCGTCCCACAAACAGTCGTGGATTGAAAATGACCAACTTACTATTGTTTTGTTTTGGAGGGATTATTATTAGGCGTGTGGAGTAAGGAAACTTGTCCAAGGTTTCGCCCTGCATGTGTCAGACACCCAAAAAGTCCCCACTCCAGGCTCACACTGTACAAGCCTCAGCTTGTTCGTAAGGTTCACAGTAAATGTTTGAACGAGGGCTTCATAGAAAAAGCACAAACGCACTTTTCTCAATGTCTAAGAGCTGATAATGGACAATTTTTCAGAACAGAAACAGGAATAGAAAGAAAATTCTGATTTCAGACCAGGATGTCAATAATTCACCCACAAAATACACAGTCAATCCACTTTGCAGTATATTTTGTGAAGCACTTTGAGGCGTCTCAGCGACGTGAGAAGGCTCTAAATCAAATGCAAGGATTATTATTATTATTATTATTATAATTCACTGCTGTAAAGGGTTGTGGCAGTTCCTGATCCCACCTGGGGTGTGATTTACACACGACAGCACAGTATATACACTATGATTGATTAGCAAACAGCTCATTGCCACAACTGTAACCATAAAGCTTCAATGTTCACAGCTCTCCAGGCTTTTACAGATCCCACAACCAGTTTGTTAAATAATATGTCCCATATTATTAGACATGATACTATACATAATATTCTAATTATATGAATAATCCTATAATAATCAATGCACTTGACATGGAACCTTTCACGTCTCCAACCGCTTCTCAGGATTGGTGACTGATGTGAAATTCAGCTGTAAAAAATAGGACAATATTCGGCATTGTTTCCTATTGACATTCACTGAAGGATTAGCATGTTATTGCAGTAAAACCCCCTACCTCCCGTCAGCATGGCAACTGGAACCCGTGAATTTTACAACGAGGCAATTTCAAGCTGAGCTCAAGCTTGTGCAGTAATGGCCCTGGACTTACCTGGTACACACACAGCCTGGCATTAGGTCTTCATCCACACTGCAAGTCTGTCACAGCTGCTCACACCAGCTCTTGCACACAGTCCCACTGGCTGCAATCACAGGGATCTCAGCCAGAGATCAGGCAGCAGATTAGAGAGAGAGTGAGCCACAGGCACCAATCAGACAGACTGCCTCACCAGGCTCACTCTGCACGTCATTGCCTCAAACCTGAAATGCTTTAAATAGTGCGGGTAACACAAGGGGTGGGGAGCGATAGAGAGCGCGAGACTCAGTCACTCCAACTCCAGGAACCATTTAATTTAATCCGAGGTTCAGCACTGGTGCAATGTTCCTTTTTCACCCCAAAGATTTGATCCAGTCTCTGTGTTGTTCACGAGAGGTGGGGACTTATAAATAAAAACAAAAACCCTTTAGAGAATGCGAATAGTAAACAAACATTGTGGAGTAATTCTGTACCAAAATTTCACATCAGTTATTGTTCAGGGAGATGCACAATCCCTCCGCCTTGCCCCCTCTCTCCCCTTTTTCAAGTCCCATCTGAAAACCTTCTTTTTCAGCCGTGCTTATGGTCACCTCTCCTCACCCCCCACCCCCGGTGAGGAGTCAGGCTCTGCCACTGTTAAGCACTTTGTGATGCTACCCCGTGTGGAGGGCACTATATAATTGCAAGTTATTGTTGTTTTAACTTTGTCTTAAAGAAACCATCCCTGTTTATGGAGCCTATCACACCTTCCAACAAAGAGGTTTGGCTACAAAATATAGTCTCACTACTACACTTTACAGTAAATCACACGAAATGCTTCGCCCCATCCTCCCAACTTAAAAGACGCTAGATCAAATGTAAGAAATATTATTATTGATTTGCTTAATAATTATCTTTGCATTTGATATAGTACCATTCTCTCTGCTCACTGGGAGTAATATTCGGGAGAGATCGTCAGCAAAGAATGGATCTGGGATTTCAAACCATTCTCAATATTTCCTGACAACAGATGGAAGAGGTTTTAGTTTGTTCTTGGAATGAAATCCTCAAATACAAATGTTCTGCTAGAATAAATCTTAGCTTGCCTCATTGCCCATGTGTCCTGACCCCCACAATAGCAGCATTGAGATGAATCAACACTGGGAAGCATTTATCGGGAGTCTATGTATAAGTGTTAGATTAATGAATTTCAGGATAAAGAACACTACAGTAACGATGAGTGGAATTAATTCAACTACAAGTATCAAAAGGGGCTTGAAGGAGTTGATGACTATTTGTATAGCCTCTGTGTTTCTGCACATCCAGTCTCCCCAGTGACACCGCTGGCTTTCACTCACAAGGCTGAATCATCAGCCTCTGCTAAGGGTTGGTTGCAGATTAGCCCACAGGCCTGGGGTTCGTTGTGGGTTCGGGGATCTGTTACTCCGTGACACTATCCCAAGGTTGGCTATGAGGTGAGCAGATCCACACATACACACACACACACACATACCACCACAAGTAGTAGTGCTGATTTAGGTATTGTGATTTTCTGTCAGCTTGACTCAGTGCTAATGCTCTCACTTCCGAGTCAGAAGATTCACAGGTTCAAGCCCCATGTCGGGACTTGGAATCACATAGTCTAAGCTGATGCTCCAGTGTAGTGCTGGGGGTTCTGCTGCATTCTCAACCTACTAAACTCTTACCAACCTACCCGCTCCCTCTGCTCGGCGGGCACTGCCCAGCCACATGTCCCCCGGCCTGACCGCCCCACCATCGGTAGTCAGGCCTTCAGCCTCTCTGCCCCCACCCTCTGGAACCCCTTCCTGGAGCCCCAACCCCCTTCCTCCTCCCTTGTCGCTTTCAAGGCCCGTCTCAAGACCTTGCTCTTCGACTGTGCCTTTGGCCATCTTCCCATCACCACTCCCCACCACTCTCTGATCCCAACCCGCACCTCGGGTGAAAACTCTTCACTGTCCAGCGTCTTGGAACATCCTTCTGATGTGAAAGGCGCTTATATAAATGCAATTTGTTGTTGTTGTTGGACGTTAAAGATCCTGTGGCAATATTCAAAAAGAGGAGTTTCTCTCGCTGTCCAGCATATTCCCAAACTACCTGAGAAGCTCTTTGAGACGTTTGATGTTATCTGTTCTGTACCAAACACAAGGATTATTATTTGTTAAATTGGCCCTTTAATTGCCCTCCTATCTCCATGTCGCAAGGACCCAGGTTCAGAATCAATCACTAATCAGGTTCTGTGGCGGCTTCTTCAATGTTAAGATGCTCGGCACGTTCTCAGACTGATTTCAAAGGCAAGAGTCATTTAAACCAATTTCACAGCAAACAATAACTCCAATCCAAGTTGAAATTGGATTTTCAGATAAAAGACATTTTTGATAACTGCCTTCACATGAAGAGGAATTTGATTGCCTTTGATAAAATCATTAAACCAATAACTCCAACCCACTCACTTCCTCATTCATTTCAAGGAAAGAAAGCTTGTGCAGGTTTAAATCACTCTTGACATCTGCCTCATCATTGGCTGTCAGTCTACCGTCCTCGTACAGTCTGAGACAGACAGTTAGACCTTCTGCACCATCCAGTCAGTTACACAAACACCTCAGCACATCACTGAACTAAGTCCCGCACACATCTCCCATGCACATCATTGTCAGTCAGCCACTGGCAAAAGCCCTTTATTTTGATCAGCCGGGTGTCTGACTCACTCAGAAACCCGTAACCCTGATTGGCCATGTGTCTGACACATGGAAACCCATTGCCAAACTCAAACGAGTGTCTGGCACAGCTCACCGACACCGGCACTCCCCGAAAACACAAAATTTCACCCCCAATCACTCTCTGGTAATGAGCAATCGGGTCCTTGAGCACAGATGTAAGAACAATGGACCACAGAAAGAAAGACCACAGCTGCGGGTTGGGATCAGAGAGTGGTGAGGAGTGGTGATGGGAGGATGACCAAAGGCACAGTCAAAGAGGAAGGTCTTGAGATGGGCTTTGAAGGCAGCAAGGGAGGAGGCGGGGTGTGGGAGCTCTGGGAAAGGGTTCCAGAGGGTGGGGCAGAGAGGCTGAAGGCCTGACTACCGATGGCGGGCTGGTCTGGCCGGGGGACTTGTGGCCGGCAGTGCCCGCCGAGCAGAGGAAGCGGGTAAGTTGGTAAGTCTCAGACACCTGCCTATCTCAAGGCTGAGATACAAGCAGGCTGTAGCAGGCTGCTCATATCTCTCTCTGTGCAACGCAGTCTGTGAAGGGTGGGGGCTATCTCTGTGACAAGGGGAGGTGGAGTTAGAAACACATTAAAGAAAGATGTAACTTTGAAATAGTTGGAGTCGTGCAGAGGTTCAGCACTTCCCAGTGGAATCGATATTGATTCTTTTGTATCTATGGGTATGTACAGGGGTGAGGGAATTTACCTCCAGTAAGAAAGTGACTATTCAAAGTGAAAGAGGAGGAGTAGTGGGCAATATGTTTTCGGTTCTGTTTGCTGGGCAGAGAAGTAATAACGGTAGTTAGTGGTTGGTCTGGGGAACCCAGAAGTCAGGTTAGGCAGCACGGGCGAGGTGCTGGGCTAATAGCTGGTTGTGTCTGTTGAGTTTACAGGAGCCACTCTCTGTGATTCTGTGTGATAGTTTTGTGATTAAGTATTGTTTTTATAGATTGGTTGTGTCCGAGAGATTACCGGGCGCCAGTCCCTATTAAGTTTTGTATTACAGAATCATTTGTCCCCGAGGGATTTCCGGGGGCTGATTTCTGCTGCGTATGTTGAGGTGTGTTCTTGGGCTTATTGTTTTGTCTGGAGTACTGAGCAATTCCTGAGTGCACGCTGTTGGTCTCAATTATTTGATTTGTATACCTGTGTCGTTGTATGGTGCGGATTATTGTGTTGTAATATGGTCAAATGGCTTGAATACAGTTTGTTGAACTTTACCGTTTGTCTTATATATATATTTCATATTATTGGAATAAACACTATACTCTTACCACTCGCCTGTCGAATTATTAACACCTCTGGGGGATGGAGAGCCAGTGAAGCCAGGTGAGGATGGGGGTGATTGGCTTGAGGGAGCTTGGTGTCATATCCACCCCTCCCAAAATCAACCCTCAGCTTGGGTGCAAACCCTCAACTGTCCAGTGCCTTGGGAAGTCCTCCCAAAGTGAAAGGCGCCATATAAATGCAATTTATTGTTGTTGTTCTGATCGTCATTGCTGAGCTCTCCTTAATTGGGCGACTGTTCCAATATTTAACTCTGAAATGTCTTCAAAATATTCAGTAAACATTCATCATCACATTGTTTATCAAAAACCTGTTCTGCAGTTATTTGTTAGTGCCGACCTCAGGATTCAATGCACAGACCAGATTCCCAGATTAGACCTTGTTGGACAAAAATAAATAAAAGATTACTGTGGAAACAAAAGCTGCTCGGAATAGCCAGATCGGTCATTTAAGCACGAGCCTGGAACCAGTTCAGCTGCAGAACACAGGGCATAGTGTTCACAGCAACTATGGTTTTCACAGCCGCTCCTTCATCCATATTCAGACATGTTCAAGAACATTGTAGGTCTGATTTTAACAGTGAGTCTTACAGCCCCATTTAACTTGTCTCATTGAGTATTACATCCTGTTACCGAAACACAAATAATCAGCAGGAGCCATGTCTCACATAGGAAAATACACAAAGACACTCACGCACACGCACACACACACACACACACAGACAGACACACACACACCATACACACACACGTACACACACCACATACATACTACACACACAAATATACTCACGCCCAGATACATTCACACATACATAGATACACTTTCTCTCACACACACACACATGCCCCACACACACAAACAAATATACACACAAATATACTCACACACAAATATACTCACACACACATACATTCACACACATAGATACACTCTCTCACATACAAACACACCCCACACGCTCACACGCAGATATACTCACACACACACACAAATACACTCACACACACAAACACACATAGATATACTCACAAACACAGATATACTTACACACACAGATACACACACACATACAGACACGGATGCGTGCACACACACACACACACATACAAATACAGGTCTATCGTTCATGGAT